ACAGGGTTTGTTAACCATCAATGTGGAGTATTACTTGGCTGCCGGAAAGGAACCAGTCTTATCCTTAGATGTATGTATGTATAAAATACGCACCATGGTTATTTTGTGAAACAAAATTTTGCATATACACATATGTAAATTTATATATGTATTTTTTTTTGGCACATACACGTGTGAAAGTAAATCACGGACACGGGCGTACAGTAAGACTACGACTAGCTGTGAAATGTGTGTGTGTGTGTGTGTGTGTGTGTATGTGTATGTGAGTGGAACCGAAAGGGCCCAAAGCGGCAGCGGGAAGTGAAATTGATTTTTCGTAACTGTGTGTGTGCGCGAGGCCCCTTGGCGGGGGTGTGTCTCATGCACTTGACCGTTTTTTATACCCTGAGCCCCCTGGAAATGGGTTTTCAGGGTATGTTAGTTTCATTAAAATTCGAAATAAACTACAAAAGAGAGTGTCTTGATATTTGCAATTTATACTCAGCGTATATGAGTTCCTATTTGATATTATTATTATTTCGACGGAATTTTTTTTCGTGCTAGACATTTCATATTTATTGTTTTTGTATACGGCTCAGAGCATCTGCTCGTCGAGCAGTCTGAACTAGAGCACTCTTACTTGTTTTCCGTTAGCATTGTATTTGCACCCTTCAAAAGTGGGAGTGGAAGGCGATGGGCGCATCGTATTTCAAGGCATTCGAGCTTCATATGGCCAAGACCTTAAAATTTAACTATGTATGGATGGGGGTATAGACTTGACATGTAACTCTTATATCATACTTTGTCTAATTTGTATACCGTAATTATTCTATGTTCGGTCAATTTGATGTACTTAGTAAATTCGAACTGTAAATCTTCACATTATCTTGAACGAAAAGTAGGGAGAGAGCTTTTTGTTATCTTGATTAGGGTATGCAAACATCGGCCCGGCAGCTAGCATGATTTCTATCTCGCTATGTTTCTCTCTCACTCGCTCTCTCTTCGAAGCACGTGTTTGCAGGTTTGAGTAAATATGTGGAAATTCTTGAAATGATTTGCATGCGCTCGGCACTGACCAGCTGCGCTTCTCAGTAAGGTTTGCTTTTGTTTATGTTTATAGTACAGTAAAGCAGACCTGAACAATATCAAATCACTAGTCTAGCCGGCAAATTACGCTTATCGTATTACATTTAAAGTAAAGAAATGTATATACATATGTATGTATAGTATAAAACACAAACCTGCACTTGTCTAAGGAATACTTACCATTTTCGTATGAATCTACAATCTGAACTATAAATAGTTGTTTGCGGTGCTGGCTATAAACTTATATAGATACATACATATACATATGTAAATATATTCCACACTAACAAGGGCCAATTCGAAAGTTTGTGGCTGCGGAAAATTTCCTTTTACTAGCTGAATCGAATCGTGTATTTTATTGTTTCCTTTTGATTTGCCTAATTAATTAACTTCATCACAGCATTTACATTTGCAATTTATATGCTTTGATATATCCCCAGTAGGTAAATAATATTTAGGTCATGTTCTTGAAGCTTAAATAAGAAACATTACAATTGCAGACCATGCGAACAATGGAGCTTATTCTACGTCAGAAATTAGATTCCGATCGATCCAAGTATTTACCGCCTATAAAACGTGGTGGATATATTGACATATACATGACTAGCTCAGGTTGGTCGAATATCTATATTACATAAAAAAACATAAGTTTAGTTTTTTTGCTAGTTATATATGCAAAAGTATATCAAAAACTTTCGCAATCCTTGTATTTACTCGTATATATTCCTTCCTCTACCGAATTCTCTCTTCAAAATCAATTGCCAAAAACTTGCAACCCAAGCAGAGCAAAAAAACAACTATAATCAATCCAAATTTCTGTTCACTTTATATATCGATTCGACAAGTATATAAATCCATATTCATCAACTATTTGGTTGCACGGCCCCTAGCCATTGTAGTGTGGCTCTATAAATTCGCAAGCGGCTTGTCAGTCACACCACACAACAACCAAAAGTGTTTCTTGTTTTCGTTTTCGTTCATTGTAGCCCACAACATCCATGTAATATACAAAATACTATATAAATTGGTTTGCTGCCTAGCTTACCTATAGCAATTGCCTTCTAATTTCGGCAGTTCTTGCATGTTTGTTCCGTCGTGCTAGAAATCGAATTGAAACCGAAAAAAAAATAAATAAATAAATAAGTAACTAAAACAAAATCAAAACGAACAATGTATTATTTGTATTATTTTAAGAATTCTTAATTATTTTGATTTTCTTTTCTATAAACTCTTTTTTATTTTCATATCCATGAATACACAAAAATGAAACCTATGCGATGTCTTTGGTCTTCTCTTCATCATCACCATCATCATCAACAATATGAACATCAACTCCATCATCGCCTATGATCATCTTACAACCATGATCGAAATTTCTTCAATTATAATCAAACGAAATGTGTAAACCAAATTAAATTGTACGTACGCCCAATGCACCTGTGTCACCTGCCCCGCTCGCTCGCTCGTTCGCTCGCTCGCTCTCATGGTACCAACTGAAACAACTACTACAACAACAACAACAACTTCATCTACCACTATGTACATTAACCACTCAACAACTGAGCAGAAGGGCAAACGCTTGGAAAATGCCCTAGCAAAAAGTTTGCAAGCCCTTTCGGGTCAAAAGATACCAACATTGAAGCGCGGCGATGTCGCCAGGTATTATCCATCCTCAGGTAACGTATACCGTATACTCTACTATCATAATACAAAATAATCAAAATAAAAACAAAAACTATAGAAGCTAAATCATAAGTCATAAGTAGTTGAAAGCAACTTTCGCACTGCGTACAAATACATGATAAAAGCACAAAGCATGTTGCATACTTACATTTGTGATTCGAATAATTTACTTTTGAGCAATTATAATTATTTGGCCTTTAATTAACTGTTCACTGATCTATCTGTATGATTTGTTTGTTTAATTATTTATCTGTTTTTATTTCAGTTAATTTTGATGCATGTATGTTATTCTGTATATATAGGATCTCTAGGGTTGCAGTTGATTGCAGTTGTTGTGAATAGTTTGCAGCCTGAGTCTATATTGTATTTAATCCTTTTGAACTTTTGAATATTGATTCGCAGATGAGCGCATTATCGAATACGATATTGATACCCTTGTCTATGAGGCTCGTTCGCCGTTCCAGAAGATTCAAATCCTGCACTCCAAGACGCTGGGCAACATGCTAATTTTAGACGAGCTGCAGAGTAAGTTACACACAAGCACTCGGTGTCGCGGTGGTACGTTGGCAAAGTGGCATGGTGGCACGGTGGCACGTTAATTTACAACCCCTGCATAGGCCGAGGACCATGCCACACAGATCAAATTAAGGTCAAGGCCTACTTGGTACACGTCACGTGTCGCTGTTGCAGTCGAGCTGAAATTAAATCAACTGCTAATGGTTGCTAATGTTTTTGCCGTTGCAGATATTGCGGAATCTGATTTGATCTATACGGAAACCCTAATGGGCCGCGGTATTGAGAACTACGAGGGCAAGGAGATTTGTATTCTGGGCGGCGGAGATGGCGCTCTACTCTATGAGCTGCTCAAAGAGAAGCCCAAGCATGTGGTCATGCTTGAAATTGATGAGCTTGTTATGCAGGCTTGCAACAAGTATCTGAACAGCATTTGTGGCGACGTGTTGGAGAAGCGCAAAACCGATCAATATGAGATTATAGTGGGCGATTGCGTGGACTATATGAAGAAGTTCATTGCGGAGGGTCGCAAGTTTGACTATGTCTTTGGAGATTTAACTGATATACCCATTTCGGATGCACCTATTGGTGAATGCTGGGATTTTATACGCACCATCTTTGAGCATTCGTTCCAGCTGCTCAAGCCGGATGGCAAATATCTAACTCATGGCAATGGCACCAGCTGCTTGGAATCGTTGCAGTTGTTCGAGGAACAGCTACGACTGCTTAAGCCGAAGGTTAAATTTACTACAACCAAAGCTTTTGTGCCGTCGTTCATGGAAGAATGGCTCTTCTATCAAGTAACTTTCGCTTGACCAGCTCAAATTGAAGCAGTTATGCGACGACGACAAGCACCACAATTGCAGCTTACAACTAGTACGAACTTAACAACAACAGCAACAACAACAACAACACCCACATCGTGTATCCAAAATGCTACATCCAACACGCAAATTGTTCTCACACCCACAATACAAATCTATCCACTTGAGCTCAGCACCAAGGAGCCGCTGTTACTGCACAGCTACACCGTGATATTGCATGCTGCCAAGACGCAGCAGCTGCCACAGAATCTACAAAACAATATTTTGCCCCTCAAGAAGCAACGTAAGAAGCGTGTGCATTACCATCATGCGCTGGTTTCCTAGTGGAGGCTATTCATCAAATGTAACCAAAAAGACAAAGAAACTACTTAGCATCACTAATAGCACCCAACACAATAAAACAACAAAATAGACTTCCAAGGGCTGTAACTAGCATCTGATAACCAAACCAAAAAAAATATTTAAAGTCCAATTAATATAATTTAAGTTAGGATTTAGTTGTGTTTTATGTTCATTGATTTTAAAACTAAAACTAAGTCAGGCTCAAAGACAAGAAGAAAAGAAGGCGAAAAGAAAGTGTTATGTATTTATTTGTGCTTATTTAATTATTTAACATTATAATTAATGTCTAGTATTTTCATAAACATACATAATATTATATATAATTAGAACTTTAAAGCGCGTTTTTGAGAAATTGAGTGTTAGGAGTGTAGCTGATGGCTGATGTCACTTGATATATTTGAATAAAAACAATAATAAAATGTCGTACGCAAAATAAACAATTCTTGTTTTTTGTCTCAAAAGCAAAAATGCATTTTCAATTTGGCGCGCACTAATACCCCAAACATTCCGATTACAATATCGATAAGAACTAACTGCAATCATCGATTGGTCAACATGCGATTTCCACTCCAGTGAAAAGCACAATTTCATTCATAAGACGTGCGCCGCCGCTGCTGCGGAACGAATTAAAGTAAAAATGGATCGCAAACTGCATAGTGCTATACATCATCCTACTCTTCGACTGCTGCAGGAGTCTGGCTGTGAAATACTGCCACATAACTTGATGTATCCTGTCTTCATAATCAGCAACGACGATGAAGTGCAACCCATTGCAAGTATGCCAGGCATATCGCGATACGGTCTGAACCGATTACGCGAGCACTTGGAGCCGCTGGTCAAAAAAGGTTTGACCTCTGTGTTGCTCTTTGGCGTGGTGGGAACTGAGCACAAGGACGATCAAGCGACGAACGCTGACTCGAGTGTGAATCCCGTTGTGTTGGCTTTGCCCAAACTGCGGGAATGGTTTCCAACTCTGCTGCTTGCATGTGACGTATGCATCTGTCCGTATTCGTCACATGGCCACTGCGGTCTGCTGGGCGACAATGGCTTGGAAAACGAGCCGAGTATAAAGCGCATAGCGGAAATCTCCGTGGCATATGGTAAGGCTGGTGCACATGTCGTCGCCCCATCTGACATGATGGACAACCGGGTGCGGGCCATTAAGCAGGCTTTAGTGGACGCTGGACTCACCAGCGTCTCACTGCTGGCCTACTCGGCCAAGTTTGCCTCAAATTTCTACGGTCCCTTCAGGGAAGCAGCAAAGTCGGCGCCCGCCTTCGGAGATCGTCGCTGTTATCAGCTGCCCAGTGGCTCTCGAAACCTGGCCATGCGGGCGGTACAGCGCGATGTTAGTGAAGGCGCCGACATGCTGATGGTTAAGCCCGGCATGCCGTACTTGGACATTCTGCGTCAAACCAAAGACACCTATCCATACCATACCCTGTACGTCTATCAGGTATCGGGAGAGTATGCCATGCTCTGCCACGCAGCGAAAGCGGGCGCCTTCCCGCTCCGTGATGCTGTGCTGGAGGCAATGAAGGGCTTCAGGCGTGCAGGCGCCGATTGTATTATAACCTACTTCACTCCCTACATGCTGGATATAATCAGCAACTCCGCTTAAGCTGAGATAAGGCTGCTCCTGAGTAAAGCTCTCTCCATATCAAGTGTACTTAAATGGGATCAGGAAATTATCTAGTTCTTAAGACGAAAGCGTGCAAATATTAGTAATAATCACAATTTTAAGACTCAATTTTTGTTTAAACTTCTGTTTTTAGCTAATCATGATGACGATTTCAGTACCTTATTCATTGCTATATAAATGTACATAGACAATAAGCGATATTGTATACTATTCGTTTGCCATTCAACATTCAATATGCTTATCAGTCGGGCATATTTGGAAGGCAAATGCAAACCAACCCCATTACGCGGCGTCGAGTGTTCCAACTCTGTCATTTCAATTCAGCTGTGCGCACAATCAGCCTGACACGTTCCCTAACTAAATGATGAAATTTATTCTTACTACAGTGAATGCTCACAAGTTCGACAATTGCTATTCACAAACTACGCATTAAGCTTGACTTTTGATAAACGTTTTTATTCATATTTGTTTTTAAACACTGAAATTTATAAATAATAATTTTATATTTATTTAGCAAGTGAATTAAATTGATATTCAAAAATGTGTAAGACTATTTATGTTTTGGAAATTGTGACAAATTGTCAATCTATATAGAACAGCGTTATATTTAGCGAGTGACCACTGTGCTGGCCTTCAACCGGTTAATGTGAATGAAATTTGATTTGTCTTTTGGATTGAAAACATGTTAAATGCGTACTCAAATCGTTTCGCTTTCACTCTAATGAAATATACAAATATATTTTTGTTTTTGTTTTTGCTTTTTTGGTTTGCAATACGGTGACAACGAAATTGGCCTAAATCTTAGGTGCTAAACTTAAGTGTGTATTGTAATATATAGTGCGATTCTTAAGTCTTGGAATGTGATGTACAAGTCACAAAATAAAGTGCATTTAGCAGTACTCAGGCTAAGTTTAAGTACATGAAACATTTTAGTTTTAGTTTTTTTCAGGGGTACATATCGAAATCTTAAATGCATAGACTTGGACCACAAAAGCCGTGAATATGTGATAGTAACGCCAGTTAAGGAATCTACAGATACTATATTATATATATGCATATATGTATGCTTTCTGCTTTATGTATATCTATGAAATACTGTGATGCTCTTTGAAACACTTTGCGCTCAGTTGCTTTCGGTGCTATGGATTTTGCTGTGCTCGAGAATGTCCGTGTTTTGCATGGGTTCCAGGTCCGTTTCGGATATAATCTCTGCCAGCCACTGCTCAATTTGCACCGGATGAAATGATTCCTCGTCGCCGCTGTTGGCCTCCAAAATAATCTTCAAATTCTCAAAGTTCTTCAATACCAAACGCTTGCCCGGCTGCAGCTGCGATGATAATGTTGTTTTGCTGGCCTCACTGCCCTGCGTGCTGGAGACTTGGACCGGCCCGTCTCCTCGGCTCTGCTCCTCGCAACTGGAGTCGGCTGCAACAGTAGTTGGCTGCACTGCATCGCTGCTTGTGACTGTTGCTGCTGCTGCGGCTGCTGCTGCCTCTTGCTGTGCGGCTTCATATGTGCGCGTGGGCTTCTGTTTTAGACTCTTCTTGATTTCGTTTAGGAGGCGATTATAAAAGTCACAGGTAACATCGTTTGTGTCCGTTGAGGTGGGCTGTGTTGGCGTGCTCTCCACACTCTGAGAATGCGGCTCTTTCTTGGCTTTGAGAGGTTCCTCTTTGACCTCTGTTCTCTTAGCGCCTTTGTGCTTCTTGGACTGCGAGCGAGAGCTCGCATTGCTGGAGTAGTTGGAGCTGGTAGGTGTGCAACTGGATAGTTCGGTGGCGGTGCTGCTCGAGTCCGCTGAGAGCGTTTGGTGTAAGTTTGTGTGCGCTGCAGCAGCAGCAGCTGCAGCGCCATCGGTTAGGGGCAGATCAGCGCTGACAGCATCCTCGCTGGCACAGTTGATGGTGAGACTGGCGATATTGCGCAGGTTGATGGTGCCATTGCAATTGTTGATGGTTATCTTTGGTTTGAAGCGGGGCTTGCGCGTCTTTGGCTTTTGCTTGCCAGACGGAGGATCAGGGCAGCTGCGTCCCAGGCTAGACACTGCGTCGGCTATGGACGATTCAAGTTCGTCGTCCAGTTCTTCTAGATTTAGCGGTGGCACAAATGTTTCGCGCTTGATTTTAGCTCGACGTATGAGATCTTTGGCTTCCTGCAAGGTGATATTGATTATGGATCGCTTGGCGTTGTCCTCGAGCAACGCCTTGTTGCGCGAAAAGTCCACCACAATGGCCTCTGGTTGCACCTCATCATTCAGATTAAAGTAGTTGCTGCTGTCCACCCGATCCTCCAGGCATTTGTACATGGTCTCATGGTCATCGACCGGCTCAATATAGTCCTCGTTACGCAGACCAGCTGTTCTGTTGTCCTGCAGGCGGTGGAGCGCCAACTGCATATTGCTGTCCAGTTGAAATTGCCCAAAGCTCCGAATAGCCGTCAGCAGCTTCTCCTCATCTTCGCCCGTGACGAATCGCACTTCGCACCTTTCTTTGTCATTTTCAGTGTCGTATTCTATATAAACGGGAGCTGATTGTTCGCGTTGCGTATTTGCAATTACCTCCAGTTGGCGTAGCAGTAATTTTTCACGCATATGTAATGCAGCACGTATTTCACTGAATTTCTGCTGCACATTTGCTTTTACCTAAACAAAAAATATACGCATTAAAAAATCTGCTACATTTCTGTAACACACCCAAAGCATTTGCTTTTATACTTCACCTCTTCCAGAAGCTGATCCATTTTGGCAATGTGATATTCGGTGAATTATATGCTAAATGAAACACATTTTTATCAACTTTCTTTAAGGGCAAATGAAAAATATGCTAATTCTGTTTCTGTTTGATCGAAATAATGGAGCGAACAGCTACGGCGAATAACGAACATATGTTACTCGGCGAAAAATACCAACAATAAGCTATCGATAAATAGCAGACGGACTTCGCCTCACTCATCGGCAGAGTAAATATTGGCGCCAAGAGCTGAAAACAGATAAGTCTAAATAGCATAAGAGATCTATCGATAAAAAATGTTTGTTATCGTTACTGACAGCCGCTTATGCGTTCGCATCTCTAATGTCAATTTGCCTTTTCCAGGAATTGCTTACTGTTAATAACAGTCAGTCTGCTACTTTTGGCCGTCGTGATTTCTAGGCGCGGATAAATTTTTGTTGATTGCTCACTTTGCGCTAAATTCGAAAACAAGATTTTAAGAATATATTTACGAGTTTTTGACAATACGTGCGACATCGACAATAAAAAGAACACTATAAAAAATAAATATTAATAAGTTCCCCATTGACGCAGAAGCTTACGCGGTGCAGCAGCCGACGCCGCTATCGTCGCATCACATTATTGTAATTATAATTGTTCTGTTCTCATAATTAGTGTGTATTTTAAGATTTGTTAAAATTCTGCAATGTACATTTGTTTATATAAAAGCAACACTCGCCGAAGTGAATCATAGGCATCGAGCGCTGACTGCCGTGTTTTGTTGTTGCTGTTGCTTGCCTCGCACAACAAATCTAAAATAGTGTCAGTGTGTGTGTGCGTGCGTACCTCCGTTTCTGGGTGTTTGTGTGTGCATGTGTTGTGTCTTGTTTGTGTTTGCCAACATGTTTTTGTTTTTCTTTTAACTTTGCTCGCATACACGTAGTATCTGAAACAAAACACATAAAAACAACTCACTTAAAAATTGATTGTTCACGTCAATTGTAACAATTGTACAAATGCAACAAAAATAAACAACAACCGCAGTGGCAGCAGCAGCAGCAACAACAACGTAACAGCGCCAGCAACGTGGAGTGCAAAGGCATAAAAAACAAAGGCAAAAATCAAAAACAAAAAGAATGAGAGAGCGCGAGCGAGAGAGCGCGAACTGTGTCAATGCGGCAACAGCAGCAATGACGCCAAAAACTTGAGAAACATATATATTCCAGACAGGCTATTAAACAAATGAAGATATTTCTTTATTTAAATAAAGTCACTTTAACTATTTTTAATTGGATTTGTGCGACATTTGACATCGCTACGTCGTTATGCCTACGTTCGGCGTAACGTCAACGTCAACTCTTTTTTTTGTGTGCTTCGCTGTGTCTGCGTTTTTATTGTTGTCTGTTGTCTTTTCATATCTTTTGCGTTTGGCTTTGCCTTTGCATGAGTGTACGAGTGAGGCAGTGATATTAATTGTATTTGTTTTTGCTTCGTGACTAGATTTTTAGTTTAGTATTTGAATATGAATGCATACAAATTGTTAGAAAACTAAGAGAAATTAAAATATATAAGTATGTAGTCAATGTAGGCTTTCTTGTGGCTCCGGCTTTCCGGTTTCGGTTTCAGTTTCGGTTTCCATTTGCCCGCATTGCAGCGCTTGTTTATCTATGCCTTATTACATACAAAAAGAAAAAACCTGTTTAGCTCGACGTAAGATTTGTAGTTGTACGTTTTAAATAAAAATTACCTCATTTCACACATCGGGCTTGCCTTCCCGCCTGCCTCTTAATCAAATTACAACTAATATTTTATTTATATTTATGATTATGATTGCAGGCAGCAAAACGTTTTTGATTCAAAAGTGCAATTTTTTACAAACCTCAACAAAAAGTGTCGCGCATCAAATTTAATTAACGTATCCATTTATAGCACGCATCCCCCTCACACACACACACACACACACACGTACAAGCAAACCTGTTACATATTTAAAATCCCAATTGAGAATTTGCGTGTTTCCATTAAAAATACAAAAACCCCCCGAAAATAAAAAGTAAATAAGAAAAGTGTTTCGGGGTCAATGCTGTTTATTCATTGTGGCTGCTGTTAGCAAGAGACAGAGACAGATAGAGGGGGAGATTGAGAGAGGGAGAAAGAAATACACAAACTACGCAAAGCAAACGTAAGTTAAGAGTTTTCTTATTGTTATTTAATTGTTAATTCACACGTCTCAGCAGCCAAGAGCGTGAGACGTCGTAGATAGCTGCGAGCAGCTCAAACTTAGCGGATCATAAATTAAATACTCATTTAGTCTAAATAACAAATAGAAACGAATTACATGGCAATAGGTGGGGCTGTCAATGCTTGCCTTCCATTCAGTTAAATACCTTGAAAGTAGAAAGTTTTCGCAGTTGTTCATTTAGTACTTCATTGCTTCGATTCTAAAGGCTGTATATTTTAAGACCATACGGCAATTAAATTTGATTGAGCGTGTTTAAAACTTTTTTGTTTTAGGTCTCGCTAAAATTTTCTTAAATTTAAAAATATATGAAATATCATTTCTGTCTAATTATTGTTTTTTATAGTATTAATACATTTTTTAAAATTAAAAAAAAAAACTAATTTTAAATCAATATTGAATAAAACTATATTTAATATCAATTATCAATTGAGATTAATTTTTATTGATATATTTTTTGTTTCTTTATGTACCGCTTGGCTGATAAGGCTTTAATGCATAAAGCTTTGTTTTTATGATAATATCAGTTTATTCAGCTTCATTTATTTAACTTTATTTGCGAGTTCTATACTAGAGTTATCTTCAGTTGATTCATAAATAACTATGTTTAATCGGCCTATACATAATTAGAGCCCATATATTACATTTCGCAGCTCTAGATTTCAAGGTAGGGCTACAAATGGTTAAGAACGGCTAAATAAATATTTGAGAACATAATTAACTGAAGCGGAAATTGATTCTACTCTTGCCAGTGAATAAACTGTCAAAATAATTATATATTTACAAAGTTAAATATCCGAAAATTGAGCAAACACTAGCTTGGCAATTACAAATTTAATAAAGCCGCTTTTGACATTAATTAACACCTAATAAAGTGCTCAATAGCAATTACGCTTTTTTTGTTGCAGTTGAAAAGTTTGCCCTGATTTGAGTGTCAATTAATTAATTTACTTTAATTGCAGTGCAATTAATCACAAAGCCATGCAATCGATATGCCTAAATATATGATTATGTATTCTCTATTTATTTAATTGTGACTTTTGTCTATGTGAGATTATCCAAATAAAATAATTGTTTGATTTTAATTAATACTAATTTGCGTTATGAGTGCAATGCGAAATTCCGAAATCTTCCATTGATGTGAATGCATGTTTTTATATGTATGCACGTATATACATATATAAATTTATATGGGATAAATTTTAATTGTTATTCAGCTTGCAGTGTTGTGATTCGTGTGAATGTGGAAATTGCTTTGAGCGCTGAAAAAAAAACAAATTGGAAAAACGCCTGCACAAATTCTAAACTGTAAATGCAAATAAACGAAATGGAGCACACAATAAAAAATATATATATACATATGTGCGTAGATAGATTCTCTATAGATTCTTTTTTCGATATGTATTCATATATATAAATGCATTTTATATTGTATGTCTAGCAATAACTTTTGTGCACTCTTCCGTTTAACATGCTTTGTAAAGTGGCTTTCAAATGTTTTGCCAATTGCTGACTTTTGAACTTGTGACGTGTGAGCCCGCCCTCTGCTGGCTCGATTCGGCTAACCTGTCCCGCCTCACCTGACCTTTTTCAATAAATTTGCATGACAAAGCCGCTTAGCCCAAGTGCTGTTAGCATATTTCAGTTTATATTCATGTTAGATAGTTGCCCAGGCAAATACTACAACAAAAAATTGGCAAAATAAATAGAAAAAGTAAATTGTATATATTTTGTGTTCCATTGATGTATTTGCTCAATGCATAAATAAGGAAAATAGTATGCATAGCGTGCGTAAATATTTAAATATGAAAATTGTATAGTTATTTAAGCCAATGCAAAATTCAAATATAGATTTTGAATTGAAGTTTTTATTGGTGATAGGCGAGCGGTTCATTGCCAGCAAATAGCTGGAATTTATTTACAATCTATGAATTTTGAAAGTGATTAAACAGGTTTAGTGTGAACTTATTTATAGAGATCAGATATTACTTTGACTAATTGCATATTCATTCTTGCATGTTTCACACGAATTTCCAATTAGCTACACAATTTTTTCAACTCATTATATTAGGTCTGTTTTTTTTTTTTTTGTTTTTTTGTTCTGAATATATTACAACACCTCATTGCTTTTACTTTGCTTTTCACTTGCGATCATTAAGTCGCCGTCATCTTCTGTTAATTTCCTTACTTGTACTTAAAACAATAGCCAAATGACTCGCACAAATGCGAACACATGGAGGAGGATAACTGGGGGGGAGGTCGCGCCGTTAGCCTGCAGTATTTTTGCTTGTTATCTGTTGCAATTAAATTTAATCACTTGCTCCAATTAGCAGTGCAACTGCGATAATTTCGTATGTTTGCGCTTAACGCAATTATGCGGCTGTATCACGGCCGCTCTGAACCACCAACAGCCATCAAGCATCGCAGCGAGACCACCCACTCACTGCCCCGCGCGTAAACATCAAATCAAATTACATTGCTAATACGCCACGTTGCGCGCGCCCAGATTCTGCGGGAGCTGAGCCAACGCAAACGCATTCGTTGTGCAATTCGCTTGCATTTATTTACCCACTTTATGCTTGTCCCATAAATGGTCGAGCTTCGTGGCTAATGAGTGGCTCCAACTCCAACTACCCGACCTGGACCGAGCCCTCGTCTTAGTGTTCGCTCTCTGGTTATGTTTAATGCTTTGCACAATTTTTATTCAGTTGTCCTTTTTCTCCTGTTTTTTTGTTTGTTTTTGTTGGGTTTATTTTATTCGCGTGCTTCCGACCTGCCACTCAGCTCCAGCCGTGACTCATGGCAGGGTAGGGTCTGCCTGCCACGCCCCCTACCAGCCCACTCAGCTGGCAATCCCCGTGCTCTGTTTTAGTGCTTGTACATTATGAATTTTTTATAATTTCTTGCGTTTTTATTGGTCGTTTATTCGGCTGGTTATGTTTGGGTCCTAGCTCCTCTTTGCATTTATTTTTTTTCCTCATTTTTTTTTTTATTTTTTTAATTTTATTTTTTATTTATGTTCCGTCGCCTGCGAGCGTTTGTAAACAGTTTAGGGCAATATCATTACAAATGTTTTTATTGGACTGCTGGGACAATTTGCTGCCACACTGATACCGAACACTTTGGACAGGCAGCGGCCCCATGTTCATTAAATTACTTTACTTTAAATCCCAATTGCTTTAAGTTGTACTTGAATTTAGAGTGAAACTGTTGCTCAGCTTAAGACTACTGGGAAGCCTATTTAAGCAAAATGCTTTCTAAGCCCCTTAATAAGTATATATGCTTTGCCATTTATCTCATCTTCATTGACGAATCTCAGCGTATTGACTTTTGAGCAATTGGGCTTAAGCCCAAAGACCATTTATAATAGCTCAGTTATGACAAGGTGCTAATGGAACTGGCAACACAGAACGCCAAGCCGCTCGTGCCATACAAATGCCCCATGATTTATTAATAGTGCAGACGCCACACGCACACACACACACACACACACACACACACACACACACACACACACACACACACACAGGCATACACGCTGGCAATCCTGACTCAGATCTCAATGGGGGTCAATACGATGTGAACCTAACGAACGAGGGGCACAGCGAGTAATCTTCTTAAAATGTAATTTGTTTTGTTGCAATCAACGATTTTTGATGATGACGTTCGACCAAGGACGATTGCCCACTAGCAGCTCCATCAGCTTGATGATGACGTTATCGATGCTGATGCCGATGATGATGATGATGACGACGACGGCGATGTTGATCGAATGCGAGTTGAGTAACAATTTGCAGTATAGCCAAATAAATTGCTTGTTATTTCTACCCTTAACCCCACCAAGCACAGGAAAAAAAAAAAAAAATACAGAAATGGGTAAAAAAATAGGAAACGGAACGAAAATAAAATTTGTAGCGTGCTTTTTGGGCTCCGCTGCTTCTTTTTTTTTTACGTGCGCACCACTTGACTCAAATTGGTTGGCTGCCACTCGTGATGCATGGCCATGCCAATGCGGTTTGAGCGCTGCGACAGCCCTGACAGACGGATGGACAGACTGACTGTCAGACGGAGCGGACGGATGAACGGACAGCCTGAGTGACCGACGGGCAGTGCAATGAATGAATCACAAGCTAAACGGGAGCTTTAGTGGACGGACGGCTGAGGGGCTGAGCTGCGGGTCAGTAACAATGCACACACACACACACACTCACATACATACAGCCGACTCTTACAAAAGCGCAGCGCTTGCATTTTCGCGTGGCATGAGGCATGTGGCACGTCAGTTGGGGGTCAGTTGATCAGGCTGATGCTTTGGCTTGGCTTGGCTTTCGCTTTAGCTTTGGCTTTCGCTTTGCTGCATACTTTATGGCGTGCTGGACGCGCTCTGCGTGTTTGCCAGTAACAGATTTGTTTGCATTGACAAACCCCGCTCACTACCATTTTATTTGCTCGCACGTATCCGAGCCGTGTTTCAATTTGCGCACACACACACACAGACAGACTTCACACGCACACAAAAAAGTTGCACATGTCGATTGCTACTCCATCGTTCTGTGTGATTGTAAGGATTGATTTCTAGCTTGTCAGTGACTTCTGTCTGTCCGTCTGTCTGTCTGCTTGTTGCCATTTGGTTTGCATATTTTTGCATATCTATCGCGACGCCATCCAAGCGCAGTTTGTGATGCAATTCTTTGTTGTTCTGGCTGCCCGCTGACAAACTGGCGTCTGAGTAACGCATTCATTATTTGGCAATTGATTAAAGAGGCCAGCCAGCCCGGCGGAGATTAGCAAATGAATCCTTTGCCCTTTTGCGGCGCTGTGCGTGCCTTTTGGCGCTTTCGCGGCGGCCCCGCTGATGAGTGGCCTGTTGTTAGTTTAGCTGGGCTGTATCTGGTGGCATGTATGCGGC